ATTACATGGAATTCTGGCTACTATTTCCTTCACATAAGTACCCCATCCCTGTTGTTTGCCTATGTAAATGCACATCCCTTGCCTTTGAGGTCCATGAGAGAACAATCTAGAGAGTCCCGAAAAGCAGCTAACTTGTAGCATTCAGCCATGCGTTTGACTTCCTTTTCCCAAGGATACAAAATTTCATTAGAATCACCCATAGAGATTCAAGGAAGCTGGTTGGAACGACTTTCTTTATATTTTCCCAGAGTTGGAGCCTTTCTTGATATAAAGGTAATGCATGGACAAAGGTAATTCTCTATTTGTTTTTTACTATCATTTTCCTTTGCATAATTAGTCTAAGACCCAAACATTCTTGGAACATGAAATACACGAAAACAATACCTGTTACCTTATTTGTGTCGAAAAGTTATTATACATCAATAAGGTTGATCCGACAATGACCTCTCGGAGCCCCATCTCCATCCCTACAACTGGCAATGGCATGATGATTATGACATTAGTCTTCAAGCCAAAGCTTGCCATTGCTATTCGAGATCGACCATGGTCCTGGCCTGCAGCTATCTTGCTCTAGTGAGTTCCGTGTGAGTAGTGCTTGGAATGATCTTAGACAACAGAGGAATAAAGGTGGGTTGGCGCCAACTGATCTGGTTCAATCCTGAGGTGGAGACTAGGGAGTAACTCCACATGATGACTCTATTCCCTAGAGATTGGACTGTTGAATCATCTTAAGAATAATGGTTAAGTTATGGAATCATCGCTTTGAACTAGAGGTATGATTCCACAAAACTCTCAACCGAGTTCCTTTCAAGTTACGTTCCAAACAGACCACAAAAAACAAAAAGTTATGCTCCAAACCAACTTTATGCAAGACACCCTCGAGATCGAACAAAAATAGATTACCACTCTCCGACAGAACCACACTGAATTCAGGCAACTTCGGGCACCAACAAGCATGCACAATAGGACAAGTCTTGAAAACCTTACTACCCAAAAAGACCAAGACCAGTACCCTGGAATTTCCGCCACTCCTCACAAAAAACCAATGCATTGAGTACTACATTGTATATGCCAATAGATACCCGACACTGCTCAACCCGCGATTCCTCGAATCTCGAATTGAATTAACAGCAGTCCTGACAACGGAGCAATTAAATCTCTTCTTGGACCTAAAAACATCACTATCCTCACCAATCTTGACCATAAACTTCCCATCCTCCACAGGCAAAATCAAACCCAATTTTGTCAGAATTAGCACCTGTTGGGAAGAACAGAGTCACCTCGCTAGTGTCCGAGCAACAAAGGAAATGGGGTTGGCTGTGTGCGCAGCCGAAAGCCTCGTCGGTCTGCTCCGGGCCGAACAAAGCTTCGATTTTGGAGGAGGAACCGAAGAGGTAGTGCTGAGGAATCTGGTGAGGGAGACTTGAAGATGGTGTTAATTAGGAAGACTTGCATTCTCGGTTGAAGTCCATGGTCGTCCAAGAGCTCGAGGTCCGAACATCAGAAAATGGACTGAGATTGCTGAGAAAGTCTTGGTAAGGGAAGGAACATAACTTGGACTTGAGTTCGGACATGTCTACCAAAAGAAAAATCCAACATGAATTCGACTCTTCTTTTTATTTAAAATATTATTTGAACAAAAATGCCCTTGTTTCACATGTTTGTTGGCCGGCGACCATTTGACCGACCAGCGAGTTCAGACTCTTATTTTGGACTAATTTGGGTATTTTATATCCTTATTTGAAATAATGTTTACTTTGAGCCGTTTTTTTGAGAAAATGAATCTTCTTTAGGCTCTTATTTGGATTTTTCCCATCAATTTGAATTATATGAATATCAATAATTTCCTTATTCGAGTCCTACAAACGAAAGCTCCTTCATTAAAAAACTATCTGTCTTAATATCACATACTATGGCTAGTGGAGAGGATAAGATTAGGGTAGATTACTCGCTACGAAACCCCATTTATGATAAGGATGAATGCTTATCTACTACAAAGCATGTAATCTCTTCATTTTTCCCCAAAAAGACAAGACAGATTTGTTAATTAACTTACCAAAAAAGAAGAAGATGCAATCTACCATTTTTAATTTTCTGCATTCACTTTCATTTTGGACATTTGAAATCTGACTTTTGTTTAATATTAAAGACTTTAAGACTTAATCCTCTTTAATCAACAGGGGTGAGCAATAGGAATGGCCAGGATTGGGAATTGCCCAGACCGGATCGAATCGGCCAATTCTGGGTGGTTTCCGAGGGCGTCGGTCCGATTCCTGATTCCAAAGATGGAACCGCCCAAGCTGGACCGATTATTATATTTTATTTCTTAAGAATATTTAAAGAACCTCTAATCACATATTCGCAATCACACTCGCTCTTTCCCTATTCCCTCTCAAGCTAGCTCTTTCCCTCTCACGGCTCTCATGCCTTGCACGCTCGCTCTTCCTCTCACGCCCTCTCACCCTCTCCCTCTCATGCCTCTCATGCTTTCCCTGTCATGCCTTGCATGCTCGCTCTTCCTCTCACGCCCTCTCACCCTCTCCCTCTCACGCCTCTCACGCTCGGCCTTTTACTCTTAGCTCTCACGCCTCTTTCACAATCACAAACCCTAATTGCTCTTTCCCTCTCATGCCTCTCTCGCTCGACTGTTACTCACAACTCACAGCCCTCTCAGTCACTCTCCCGTTTAGCTCTCTAATGGCGTCACCATCTCTCACTTGAATCGCGTCCCTCTCGCACGACTATAAGACAGTGCCACCTTCTCTCGTTTGAGTCGCGTCTCTGTCGCTCGAGCTTGACACCTCCATCTCGCGGTCTTATCTCGAGTCTCCACTCTCAACTCTCGCCTCCCTCTCTCGCTCTGTGTTTTGCATCTTATCAAGGTAATATCCAAATGCTTTGCTCTTTGCCGTTCTTCATACGGAATACAAATTATAGGCTAACAGGAATGTGAGGCTGCGTGATATTGCAGTTTAGGATTTTGCTTATAGCGGTGGAAATGTTTATGGTTTTTAGAACTCGTGAGGCTGCGACCGGTTCCATTGGACCACCCAAGGACCGGCCAGTTCGGTTCCAGGACCAAATGGTCCGGTTCCCAGTTCCTTTGATCTGGTTCCCGATTCTTGAGTGGGAACTGAATTGTCCAAGAACCGATTACCCGTATTAATCAATAGTTTTATTTTTCCATGTAGAAAGTATCTTCGAATGGTAAGTGTCAAATATGATCCATTTTTCCATGTATATCCAATTTCTTCCATAGGAGGAAGCAATCTAACCCTCGATTTAAAGGATTAACTTGCACGCATTTTCTACACCCAAAGTATTCACTCCCTTACGTTCCTCTTCCAAACCTGATCAGCATCATGTGTCCTGCAAAAACAAGCTCCAACAATATGAAGACTCCAATGCTCTTGACACTTCTCTCGGTCACTCAACTTCTTCTCATCACCATCCTCCCATTCGCATCCGCCAACCTCATCGACGACACATGCAAGAAGACGCCATACGCCGACTTCTGTGTCTCGGCTCTCAGATCCGACGGCCGGAGCTCCACCGCGGACACCACAACCCTAGGCCTAATCACGGTCGACAAGGTCAACGCGAACGCCAAGTCAACTCTGACTAAAATCCAGGACTTGCTCCGCAAATCCCCCGACCCAGGGACGAAGCAAGCGCTGACCTTTTGCGAGGAGTTGCACAAATTTGCCATAAGAGAGTTGGTGCCCTCGAGCAAGGATAGTTTGACATGAGGCGTATACAAATTCGCCGTGGACAACATGAAGCAAGCGGCGAGTCACGCGTCCGAATGCGAGGCAGGCTTTGGAGGCAAGTCGCCATTATCGCACTCGAACGATTATGAGAACAAGGCCGCCTCAGTGTCTTCCGCCATTGCCAGTTTACTGCTGTGAGCACTGATGATCAGTGAGATGGGTTTGTTAGATTAATAAAGGTTGTAGAAGAATGTTGAGCTCGGAAGCAAAATGAAAACTGAACCGTAGTTTTTCTTAATGGAAGTACAGTTTTTGTTTGATAATATTCTATGATTCGTGTCCAATACCAAAGCATGCTCATTCTAAAGCTCATCGATCTGGTAAGTAACATTTCCATGACCAAGCGCCTCACCACTAGCTAATAGATATATGCGTAGACAAATTACAACAATTCACGCCTCTCAAAAAAGCGTTGTGCGCTGGACGCATCATGTGTCCTTACACATGTAGATCGAAGCAAATCCGAGGTATAAATTTTCAAAATTCAAACATAGAGTGGGTTAGGCAATGTAAATTTACCCAGTGTCAGTCATGATATATCATATGCTTTCTGCTTCTTTGTGCACCTCAGTGTTGGGGAAAATATGATTGATTAAGAAGAAAAATAAAATCAGATTTTGAGACGTGATAACACGTTTTTTAAGAATTATTCAAAAGGAAACAATTGGAAACTATAATTGTATATTTTTAGAAAGGAAACGAAAAATGAAAGTTGAAAGAAGAGAACATAAATTTTGAATACATAGTAGCAAAAATATATATGAACAAGTACAATTTTTCGAAGGTTAAGAAGTCATGCTCGATCAGACACAATCTTCCAAATGTTCTAAGAGTGACTAATAACCGTTAGGCAAAATAATAAAAAATAACCGTAACTCTATTGTGAACGGTCACACTGTTTCAATAGGACAAAATAATTATTTAATAATAATAAATTCAAAATTTAATAAATAATAAATGAGGATTAGTGCCAATTATGATCTGCGAGCGCGCAAAGTGCTAAGGGTACCTAACAGTTGCGCCCACTAATTCCATGGTCTTCATTTATAAGAATAGAAGTTCTACATTGTTATATTGGCCCACACACTCCCAACTTTCCTACGTAGGACAAGACACTTTTTGTTTGTTTTTACGAACAAACTTCCAACACTAAGTGCGTGCGTGAGGGAGAACCGTCTAACTCGCTAGGCTTGATTTCATTATATACACATAAAGTATAACATTACCTTGATGGTGGCATCAATACGCAAAAGATCATATACTCTCATCGATCAAAAGGTATATATACTTTTGCAAATTATAAATGAAGACAAAATGATTGTTTACATGTCGAAACCACACAAGTGATAAATGGTAGGTGTCTCAAGACCAAACACTATACCCAAATCAAAACACGAACCGTCCCGAGCCGGCCCAAAATTATAAGGTATATTCGGTTCGGGTTTTACTATGTTCGGGTACACAGTTATAAAATAAGTTTTGTGATATGTTTCGGTTCATGTCTTAATTACCAACGCTTTTAAATTTATCAATTTTTGTTTGTTGACTCACCGACTTTATTTTCTACTGAGGAATCTAAAAGAACAAACAAATAAACGTTGGTAACTTACTCAAATAAACTAGAGATCAAAGCCAATTTACGTTTCTACCCAGAGCATGGATAGTCGCTTTTTTTTTTTCTGTTAAAGTTTGTATTTTTAATTTTTATTATGGACCTACTTATGCGGGTCCTTGCTTTAGGCATTTAGAGTGAAGGGACCCCCAAAAGAACCCCAACCCAAATGGCTTTAGGTCTCGATTCTGTGTGACCTGATCCAATTATGTGTTCTTGTCTCAAGATCTTCCTGAAAGCACTTGTTTCTTTGGCCTGTGATCTCATTGAACTGCATCTTTATAAGCCCTAAAGACATCTCAATATAATTTTGGGAACGGTGGAACTGCAGGAGGATAGTGGAGCACAGTACGTGGTCCGGCCGCTCAGTCGCGCCGAGGACGAGGACGAAGACAGCAGCGACTACCTGGAGCAACATGAGAACGGGTTGGAGCCAGAAGAAGACATCGAGGAAGACGATGAGGTCGAGGATGAAGAGGATGGAGTGGAAGAAGAGGAGGAGGTGGATGAAGATGGCGGTGGCAAGGTGGAGGATCCGCCCACGGAGAGGAAGAGGGCAGATAGAGACGATGAGGAGGATGATGATGATGATTCTGAGGACAGCGATGTCGATCATGAGAGACCTCCCAAGAGATGAGGGCCCTCGGCCCAGTTCCTGGCGATGGTCTTTAAGTCCATTAGGGATTTGATACACCTGTCTCCCTCTCTCTGTGGGGTTGAATTGTGATATTATGCTGGTGCTATATATAATGTTTAGGGGTAGATAAGAAAAACTATTTTTTCCTTTATCTTTTCTGTTTGCATAGGCTATGTGGGAAACAAGATGGTGGTTTAGATCTCTTTGTCAAATTCGATTGTAGATGACAAGGTGTTGAAGATTTCCATTTTTGCAGTATGGTGGTGCAATTGCAACTTCTCTTTCCATGGCGCTCTGTTGAAAATGCAAGATTTGCCCACTTGTTCTAAGGACTAGAGTTATATTTCTGAGCTGTCTTTTCTTTATCCCCACGATGATGATTCCTGTTGACCGCGCCAGTGGCTATGGCAGGGAAAATTACAGATTTCCCCACTTCTTTCTGTCTAATTTTTCATTTTAGTCCCACAAGTTTGACGATTTACCTCCTTCCCTCGATTTATCTGTAAAGACCTGCCTGTTTTCCTATATTCACCATGTTAACCCTTTGAATTCCAATTGAGCATACGATTTATGAATAACACGTGTGGAGCTTGACACCTCTAGCCACAGTGAGGGCAGACAAGGGCCGCGGGCGACCCCTTGCAGGCCTTAGTGAGGGCCGTCACACCCTTGATTCGCTAGGCCCGGCAAGGGCCTGGGTTAGGGCCGTGACCCTAGCCCCTGGCCGCGGCGAGGGCTTTATGGCCCTCGCCTAGAGGCCGGTGGGGGTTGCTGGCCCTCGCCCAATGGCCGACGGAGGTCGTTAGCACTCTACCACTTTGAACTAAAAAAGAAAAGAAAAGAAAAGAAAAGAAAAAGAAAAAGTAAAAAAATCAATAAAAATTTTAAAAATATAAAAAAATTATTAAAATTTATTCACGTCAGTGCCAGCTGTCGTTAGTTATGCCACGTAGGATGGCTGGGGTTGACTGAACTGCGACGTCAGCGATTTCCGATCAAAATTGATCGGATGAACTCAATTGGCAAAATATGAAAAGATTTAGAATTTAATTGGCAAAATTAAAAGGTTTAGGAATGAATTGACAGAAATGCAATATCTTTAAGACTTTTTTGACAGTTTTCCCTCCTAAACACTGGATCAACGTTCTTCTTTTATGTCTTTTTGGGTGTTTCATATGTTTGGTGCTATTCATCGTTTTAGATGCTGATTGTTTAAGGTTAAGAGCTTTGACTCTCCTTGTCTTCTGGAAAACTTCGTCGTTAAAAGTCTTCCACAATACACTATCGTATAATGCAAGGTCAGGTATGCATGGAACTACGTTATATTCGACGACTTCATCCCTTGTAGAGATCTGATTTAGCGGTTTTCTGCATGGGTTTTCTACGTATTTTTAAAGTTATTTTTCTTCAATTGTTCTTTCTTCAAAGAAAATAGGTTATTCATCTTCCGGGGGAGGTGGGATAAAAGCAATGAATATATGGGCCAAAACAGGGTGGTTGAGTTCAATATGTTCACAAAATATAAAACGCTCCCCCTTTATCTTCGAGTATGTAAACATAGGATGTTGATTAAGGGTGCGTTTATTTCGCGAAAAATGAACGAATTTAGAAAATATTTTCCTGAAAGTGATTACTTACGAGTAAGAATAAACGAAAAATATTTTTATCTTCCACTAAAATATTTATGTGTAAATTGTTGTCGATAATGAAAATATTTTTTATTAACTAATTGATAAAAGCAATTATTTTAGGAAAATGTTTTCCAAACCATTTATTTTTCGCAAAACAAATGGAGCCTAAGGTTTTCTTTATATTCCCATCTGTTTTTTTGCCATATGTAGCCAAAAAAATCAATTTTATAATGACTTTAAAAGGAAAATGGTCATCAAATTGTAGATGATCCGGCAGGTCCAAATGGTAATTTCCTCACCCAACTTTTCTTGCATATGTCTCTTTGAATGATGTTGCTTATTGCTTACTAGATACTAAGATTAGTCCATAAATCTAATGTACACATTGATGTGTCATATTCTTATAGGATGTGAAAATTTCTCATTCAATTGTTAACTTGATTCTATCGCATTGTTGAGGACATTAAATTTATGAACATCCCATTTTTCCTTTCCCCCTAATTTTAATCTATTTAAGTTTTGCAACCGTTCCACACTACATTAATCATATTTTGCCTCTATATGAGTGAAATCAAATGATTGAATTGAGCAGTATCCATGTACTATAGTGGATTGTACCATCTCTTCTACCAATACACACCCAAAGGGGTGGTGTGGGGCAACATAGTGTGCGCCCACTCGATGTCCAAGGACCTGGTTAACCGATAGGCCCTCCCTCCGGCCATCTACCCGACCAAGTCCTTCGACATTAACGGGTGCTGGTCCGGGTCCGTCACCATCCTCCCGGGTAACCGCCCTGTCATCCTCTACACCAGCAGGGACACCCAGTACCACCAGGTCCAGAACTATGCCGTCCTTGCCAATGCCTCCGACTCGTACTTCCACAAGTGGACCAAGCTCGACGACAACCCCTCGTCATCCCTAAACCCAGCATCAACGCCAGCGTCCGATCATTGCGTGGTTCGAGGGCGGGCACTGGATGAGCCTTGTTGGGAGCAGCAGGAAGAATCGGAGGATGACATATTTGTACAGATATGGAAAATAATCGGTGGCAAGATCTATTTACATGTTGCGGAGATGTCAAGTGGGATAATTGTATGCTCCTCTCACAATTTAGTAGGATTGAAAGCTGTCATTGAACCAGTTGATGGAACTATCATATATCATATTCGTAAATGTTATGTACACTAAACATGTTTTTGTTTTCATATGTTAGGTCAAAACTTGTATTTGAAATATTTTAAGCTTCTCGGCATCATTCAATTCATTTTTTCAATTGCACAATTATAGAGGGTGTGTAATGACTAGGTTAGGCTTTATCATTTGACAGCAACATGGTTATAACACGAAAATGGGAATTTCTTATGCACATATGTTGCACGTGTGTTGCACATATATTGCACGATTGTGCAGATCATATTTGTGCAGACCAAAATATATCATATTTGTAAATGTTATGTACACTAAACATGTTTTTGTTTTTCATATGTTAGGTCAGAACTTGTATTTGAAATATTTTAAGCTTCTCGACATCATTCAATTCATTTTTTCAATTGCACAATTATAGAGGGTGTGTAATGACTAGGTTAGGCTTTATCATTTGACAGGAACGTGGTTATAACACGAAAATGGGAATTTCTTATGCACATATGTTGCACTTGTGTTGCACATATATTGCACGATTGTGCATATCTTGATTGAAATATTATCTTAGAATATTTATCTAATAAAGCTTATTTTTCACATATTCTTGTTCAAAATACATCGAAATATACCGAAATTTCACAATTATTTCTTTTGCTTTATTATTGTCTACTTTCTGGACACGCCTCACTGTTGCTTTGATGCAGGCGATTCCAAGGAAAATATGGCTTGATAGCAATGGGAAACAACTGTTGCAATGGCGTGTTGAAGAGCTCAAGACTCTTCAGGGACAAAATGTTCACATGAGCAGCGTCAAGCTCAACAATGGTCAACACGTATGAGATTAAGGGAATCACAGCCGCTCAGGTTCACATATTTGCTCTATGATCTTCGTGCTTGTTTCCTATGTAAATTCGTTTACTTAGGACAAATTAGGATCTTGAAGATTTCTACGTAATAACACATGCTTCAGTGAAGAAAGCTCCTACAAGTTTATATTGTCATTGTGAATGTTCACACATCAGGATCATATACAGCCCAGTATTACCAGTAAGAAGTTCGTAATGTCCCTTCATGACTTTCTTGATCTATAGTTCCTCTTCTTTCTCTTCTCTCTCTTGACCAATGCTCCGGCTTCCATAACTCAAAAGATCAGCCATTGTGACACAGGTGTGTCGAGGTAGGCTGTGGATTGAATAGAGAAAGAAGGGCTCGTATTTGACAGATTTCGAGCAACCCCCAACCTTCTACTTGGCCACTCCTCTCTCTTCCGGCTCTAAGTAACCTTCTACTTGATCTATATCGAAATAGGCCAAAGAGAGGAAGAATAAAGTTGGAAATAATATCGGTGTTGATGTGGAGCATATAGGGACAGTAGTTTTGAATTTAGACTCTGGATTTCAGCTAGTTCTGAATAATGTCTTTTATGTTTCTGGATTTAGGAGAAACTTGATATCTCTTTCTTTGGCCTATTTCGATATAGCAGCTTTCAATGGGATAAAACGACCGATAGTATAACCTACCCTTTTATAGGCTAGAGAGGGGACCTAGCAAACCTTAATCATTAGTGCGTTAACTGGGCCGCTCCCATCACGGGCTTCAGTTAAACACAATTACCTACACTTTGCTGCTCAACTAGGCCTGTTATTTATAGATGCCGAAACCCAATTCAATAAGATCACTAAAGGGTACAACACATATATTGGAATATCCATTAACCCGAGTATTTAAAATAGAAAATCAATTAATTAATGTAAGCCCATATTATAGGAAGTTTCCAACATCATAACCTAAAGAAAAGGGAGAAAACAAGGTCATCAGAATGGCTTCCAGAAGAGTTTGTTTGTTCATAGGCCTTCTTTGCCTCATTTCTCTTTGCTTCACAGGTAATGCTAGCTTCTGCTTCATAACCCTTCATGGGGCTCGTTCTGTTTCAGTTTAGACCTCGGTTGAGACCCAGAAGACAAATTGTTTAACTATTTGTCGTGGATCAACCCAAAAAAAAAAAAAAAGACTAGTTGTTGTGGGGATGTCTTGATTTGATTGCTGAGATTTCTTGCATTCTTGTGTATCTCAGAAACATAAGTTGCGAGGGAGCTTGAGGAGAAACCGATTAAGAAAGTGGACATAGGGCCAAGTGCACAGTTCTCCTATGGCTACAATCAGACTTGCATTGACAAGGGGCTTCCCATGGGAGGGGCTTGCGAGGTTGGGGCTGAAGACAGG